AAATGTGATTTTTTTGCTAACGACAGTTACCAGGAAGAATGTAGTACTATGAAAATAAGGCAGAAATAGACATGAAAATGATGAGGCATTCAATTCCGCTAGCTAAGTGGTGGAAAGGATTGTTGAGGACAAAGCTAAAAAACTATGGCTTGAGAGCAGTTCTACTAAAAATTCTCAAATTATATCGGTCAAATAGGCAGCAATATGATTCAGTCAAAGGAGCTACTTCCAAACGAGCTAGTGTCGAATACGGAGTAACACTGTTGTTCATCATTTATATCAAAGACATATCACACTTTCTCTTGACAGATATGTGTATTTCTTTTGCTGACGACACATATTTACTCTACAGAATACTTGACACACTTTTGAGTGTCACATAATATAGAGCATAACTCTGGTCCGAAACAAATCGACTGGAAATGAATAAACATGTAACATAAGCTAACACTTTCTCCTTCAACTGGCAAGTTATTGTGGATAGCTTGAAGTAAAATAGCAATATTGATAGTCTGTTCAATGAACTATTCAGTCAGCTATTTCTGTTACGAAATTGTTAGTACTGATGTACTGCCAACTTTCCACCACTTCCTCTTTTACCCATGCATATGCTGTAGAATCCTTCTGTGGAGTAATCCCAGTCGTACCTTAAAGGGGCTTAGACATGTGGGAACCTGTTTCGCTGAACTTGGTTCGGCGAACCAAGGTCTTGGTTCGTTATTGCCTACACACAGTGAAGGGGTATGTGTACAACGGTTCACCATTTCACCAGTTTCATTTCAGCCGTTGGAAGATTGCAGCTGCTATTGTTGTATTATATGAGTTTGGGGGTTTTACAAGAAAGGAGAAGAAAATATCGCAATGGACCAAGCAGTGGCTGCGTGAGGGAGAACAGTGCGAAAGATTACACCAATTATTCAACAATGACTGACACAGAATTCAATTATTTATTAGAACTTGTGACACCCTACATATCAAAACAACTCACATGTGAAAGTCGATATCGGCCAAACATCGCCTCGTTTCTACACTTCCCTACCTAGCTACTGGAAGAAACTTGGGGGACTTGAAGTTTTCGTGCGCCCTATCATCACAAGTACTGGGGAAAATGGAGAACAACGGTTCCCCTCCTCCACACACGAAATAACTTGGTGCGCCCTGCTGGTGAACCGAACAAATATTTTCCAACCCGATGGAAGACCAAGTTCGTGAGAAATTGTAGAGATATTGGTTCGTTAAACACCACACACAGGGATATATGGTTCGTGCGAATCAAGTTTGGCGAACCAGGTTTCCATGTGGGTAGGACGCTTAAGATCATTTCGATTACAGAAGTCATTGATTGAGCAGGTTTTGATGAGCCATGGAAGCAGATTTTCATCAAACATATGATGATTTTACTATTTTGTGTTCATATATACACTCACACGGCGAATACACTCGGAGATGGCATAATCAATAGTTCAGTATAAGAGAAATATCGGTTGAAATAAATTTTATATCACTGGATTGAACAAGAATATACAAATACAATTGAAGTTAACTGAAACAAGTGAGAAACAAGGGGTGAGTCATAGAAAACGTATCGCAATTCATGAATATCAAAGAAAACAAAATTTTGCTATGGGGGGGAAATTTTTAAGCCAAATACAAAACCTGAAACTCTCTGAGCGTGGAGTCTTGATTCATTTCTTTTGAATTGAAAGATATGGGGGTTTGTAGGGTCACCTTATTATATACATTAATGATTTGTGGATGGAGATTCAACTTAAAACACTTATTCTGGACAAGAAAATATCCACGATATCAATGAGTTTGTTCATTAATACCTATTTTATTTTGATGTTTTGTGATTTGATGATATTGAATATTAGGTTTTTGTCATAATACAGTATAATTTTTAGTAATTTTCGGTGGTAACAAAAGATAAAAATTACTTTGCACCAGAAACTTTAAAAATTAATTTACTTTTCAAAAAATGGACCGTGGTTGGCACAACAGTTGTGTGATTTGTAATATTACAGGCTTTCAAAATAAACCGTCGTGTACAGGATGCTCTATTTATCGTTTTAGCAAAAATTAGTTTTTCGTAATCCCTACCTATTTAAAAAAATAGGACAAAAATAAAACTTCACTTAGATGGCCATGACTTCAAATCTAGATATATTTTCCAATGCTGAACAACTTTTCTGAATAACATTTCCCGAGATTTTTCGAAATTAGAGTACTTTACTCTTGTCACAAATATTTGAAGGCTCCTCGTATATTACGTGTGTTGTACTGAATTCTGTTGGAACATGTTTTATGGGATGCACAAACTTTTATCAAGAATAACTTTTTGTCGAAAAACCCTTAATAAATAAGTTTTCCATATGGTGCATACTTTGGGGATGACACTGTATGAAACGAAATGTATTGCACTGTAACTTACTCATTGGATGACCTGCAACGACAAATAACTTATTTATGTCATTAGATGACACTACAAATCCCCATATCTTTCAATTCAAAAGAAGTGAGTTAGGACACCACGCTGAGAGAGTTGAAGGTTTTGCAGTGATTTTTGGCTCAAAATTTGTCCTTCTCATAAATGATATCTGTTTTCCTTGACACTCATGTCTTACGATACGATTTCTATGACACGCCACATATAGTAATTAAGAAGTGCAATTGCAAAAAGTGTTTCTCATTCATCCATTCAACTTAATTTGAATTCCATTTGGTTATTTTTTTTCAATCCAATATAACATTAATTTCAACGGATATTTCTCCTATACTGAACTATCGATTATTGTTTATGCCATCTATGTGTTTCCCGTCCACAATCCATTAGGTTCGATGAATGGTTTTTTACTGGATTTTCCGAATTTGTTGAAAATTCATGTCGACGCTCTTCGGTCAATCGTGAATAGCATCTGGTGATTTTTTGGTTTTGACTATCAATTTCGTTTAAATCAGTCTATATTTCTGATCGAATGGAAAGTATGAAATAATATTATTATCACTGATAGTTTACAACAGAAATGATTCTAAAATAAGCGTATTGCACTCTACATAACTTATATTGTATATCCTGAATAGTTATTCAGGGAATCGATACCAGTGAAGAAAGAACAGATTATATTTCAACCATTCTGTCTCGCTAAACTATCTGAAGTACTTCCTTTTCTGAATGATAGAACGTGATGTGGCACATTATGATTTTTTCATCTCTTTTCACGTTTCACCCCGAAGTAATATTTTTTTGTGTAAAATAAGAAGTACTTCGGTAATGTGCCAAGTTACAAAACTCCATTTCATTTTCATGAAGAGCAAGGACTTTTTTAATAATTCGTATCTGAACTGACACAAAATGGACATTTCATTGCAAAATGTCGTTCAGAAACAAATACTTTGAATGAATTATTTATCTTTCTTTTCAGCAGGATAAATTTCCCGGAGTACCTACTACTTTCATCATATTGTGTATAAAATTCATTTTCTCATAATAAAGGATTATCTAATTATAAAAATAGACACTTTGAGTGATTTTCTCGTAATTTTTTTTCTAAACCTGAGTGAACTCACTCGGGGAGATAATACACACTATGCAGATTCAGACTTGGCTACTCTTAAAACAACTAGAGACGAATTGTTGGTGGCTTTTTCACTTCCTGAAATTGAACCTCAAAATTCCTCATCCGTGACAAATGCAGGATTATTTATATTAATCATTTCTATTGAATTTATTACTATCGTTTTGCATTCATAGTGAGACTGTGATTATTAACTGCTAAACTATTTTTATTTTATGAAGTAACACTATTTTCTTCAGTATTTCCGTTTTGATTAGTTGAACTTGACATGTTTCTACTGTGCATAACATGACACACTGTGAAAGTTGTAGGTATATAATATAGAAATTCCAGATTGATGTTACTCTTCTTGAACATATGAGAATTAATAACTCCCAAAATAGTACCTTTGTTGTTTTCAATATATGGATATCGTAGACTAAAAATGAGGTATTCCTTAGATTCAACAGAAGAATAAAATGAATATACTGAATATTCCGAATATTCCGTTTAGAAAAATATATCTCATTCAGAATACAAACAGGTCAATTTATACTAAACATCTTGGAGAACAAATGATGTTTTGGAAAAATGATCAAAAACTGAAAACTTTTTTCCTAATTCCTTTTACAATAATTTTTGAGCTACCATCAATTTCTTCTCTTTCAAAAATAATTAGCATTCGCTTCTTAAGGAATGAAGGATCATATCTTTTGCTATGCTTAGGTCCTCCATGTTTGACAAATTATTTTGTCAAAAAGTGAGTATCAGAGGTGTAAATTTTACCTGATACAATTTATTCAACAAAAAAAAACTGTTCCTACCCACCTGAACTGATTTCGTGAGAAATTTTGCAGTTTTTCAAAAGTTATTATTATTCAGAACAACCTAGAAAGCTCAATCAGCACCGTTATGAATTATGTTATTCGTTCACAAATATCTGAGGTTTGAATTCGTTGAAACCTTATTTGAATTTCACTTCATCAATAGTTCACAAAACCGTGTTTCACTGTACTTTAGTTTCTTCAAGCATTGTCAGAATTGAGTATTGGAGTGTAATTTCAATGCGTTATCAAAAATTTCCATCCAGTGTCTGCCAACTCTATGACATTCCTCTTGAAATTATTTTGTTTTCCATTCACCATTGCTATACGTTGTTACATCTCGGTAAGGATCACGAATATTCAATGATGCGTCTTCAACTCTACTCTTTTTGTTTTTCTTGATGATGCTTATTTCAAAATTTGAAAATTGGATATTTGAAATACGTCTTTTTTAATATCTAATGAAGTTTTGTATCTGGGCTAGTGAGCTGTCATGCCCTAGCAATTATTCAGCGAAGTTCAGGAGTTGAAAATTCTATCAAACAAAACGTCCTTTCATTATTCATGACTTTATAACTTGCTGAAACTAAACAATTCAAACTCTAAATTGGTTTCCGTTTCAGGTGAAGAGACTAATCAGTCCTCCAGTATTGGATGGTTTTTTGCTGAATTCACCTTCGAAGGTAAGTTTGCTTCCGACAAAACTTTCAAACGCTTTGTTTTTCAATTGAAAGTTCTTCGGGCACACGCCATTATCTGCTGATTGTTTGTTTATCATTATTCAGTTTTTATTCATGAACCATTTTATTTTATTCAAATACTTAAAAGGTTATCCAGAATATTACTCTTGTCAATGAATTTTATCGAGGATCTATCAAAACAGTTGATAATAAAAAATCAACAAATTTACAATCGTTATGATGAACTTTTTTATTATTAGTTTAGCTGGAAATAAATGTATACATTTGGTCATAGACGCACAATATAATCGTTGCGTGTTTTTTTTTCAAAAAAGTATTTTTATAAATTCAGTTCCGATTTCCGGTAAAGTGAACACAACAATTTTTATTATCATGTTGTCATAACTCAAAACCGCTATGAAAAAATTATTGTTGTTTATTTCACAAGCTAACTAATTCAGGCACTAAGACATAGAAATTGAAATTATCAGGTTTTCCAGAAATATCAAGTACTTTGAATTTCAAAAACCCCTTCATGAATTTTTTGTCGGGTCAATGAGTTCTGTAAAAAGGTGTATTATGTATGCACTTCCGCATAATATGACGTAGATATTATTGCATTGCATTACTATTTATGTTCATATCTACTTTTTTTATTATACTTTCATATTTATTATTTACGTTGACCGCCAAGTTATGTGTGTACAAGTTCGTATCGCCTTCAAATCAATGAATATTGTGTTAACTTTCCTATATTGTGTATGTTAAGCACGAAGTCGAGAATTTCTAACATGTTATTTTCATGATTGGCAGTATTTTTTTGTGAAGGCTATTTTCCGGGGTTTGTCGTGGTGGTCTGCAGGCTTTTATGTCTGACGTTTCGTCTACTGCTGCAGTAGACATTTTCAAAAGCGATGTAGTAACGGTCGTAATATTCGAGATGGTGCTCTGGTTCTTGTTCCTGTTGTATCCAACGCAGTGAATTGATTCGCAACATTCCGTACTCTAATTGCAGTATGACTTCGTTGTGAAAAAATCTATATCTTATGGATACTGATGACTTTGCTTCTATTATGATATAATAATAATAATTTATAAGCACACATTCCCGAACGTAACCTAAATTGTCTTTTCGTGCACCATGATAACTATCATAACCTCACAAACCGAACGTCGCCAGTGTATGAATGGTGTAACTAATACGATTTTGCGACTTTGTTCCATAGACATATTATTTCTTTTTCCTAATTTTTCAGATGTTTCAATATTCTGCTATTCCGGGCGGTGAAAAATTCAACAATAAAAATTCATGAAAATCGATATTTTTGAGTTGTAAATGCTGTGACAATAGGAATTTTCATTAGATGATTCATTTGTTAACGTCTTCTATAGCTTACTATTTTCCAGATTAATCAATATTTCCGTTCGTTGACAAGTTTTTTCCTGCGACTGTTTTCATTGCAAGATATTATTGTGTGATATCAACTACAATGTCGCGTAAAACATACGAGTAAAGGAAGAGACGGCGGCGGAATAGAAAATTGGGTATAATTCTGAGAAGCGTATAAATAATATCCGAGTAGTTTAAAATTAGCTTGATTTTGAACGGATGTTTTCCCAAAATATTTGTTCGACTCGAATCAAAATATTATCTTCATCTCATTCCAAACTAATTAAAAATATTCCCCAAATTTATCATGTTTTGAGGAAACTACATTAACCTATTATTCGACCTAACATAAATACATTTACATCGTTGAATGAACAAACTGATTATTCTAAAATAACCTGTCGAGTATACCTACTTAATGCATAGACATAGATGGGTAGTTCTTTATATTAGGAAGAGAATGTCGAATGTTCGGTTTGATAAACTATTTCACCAAAGAAGTCACAATCTATTCATTTGAATCCGTAACTTTCTCTGAGGCATTTGTTATGGAAATTGTTTTTCACTACGGAAAAAATGACTTATGTTCAGTGTTGTCACCCGAAAAATATCGTTCGATCCCTAAGAACGTACGAGGGTTAGAAAATCTGTGGATTTACTTTATTTACTCCAACTATCCATAGAGATATATTCACGATTAAAAAAATACATGTGGATTTTTTCAATATCTGTTCTGAAATATTTTGTAGCAGTTTCATTATATTTATTAATATTCCCTTTCTCATATACCTGAAATTACTGGCGAAATTATTATATCAGGCTGTTTGGCTAAATATTAAGATTCAGCCTCACATCAAATGAATGTCTTTACATTATGTAAAGTCGATAGTGGAAACTTTTGTAACTGTCGTGGAAAATATGGAAATTGTTATGCAGGCAATTCTCAGATAATTGAATATTAAAGATGACTAGATTTAAAAAAAGAAACAGAAATCCTTCATGACATGGTGGTTTGATAAGTGACCGTTACTTAAGTGGAAATGGAATGGACTGAGCAAAAAATAACAAAAAAGGGATAGGAAGGACAAGAAACTTACTTGAACGGAAAGGGAATAAAATCGTCAGTTACAATAGCCGTCAATTATAAATAACCAATAATCAATATCCATCAAAGAGAATGTATTTACTGAATTTGTCTTTGCCTGTACAAGTTAATTGCAAGTAGAGATATTTTTTATCAGATATCAGTTTTTGGGGAAAAAATCTCATTTTTGGAGACATCCCATATTTTTTGTCTAGATATAGAGAAGTATGAAGACAAAAAGGTTTTGCTCAAGTTCAATGAATTTAAATGAATCTGACTTATATGTTTTCGTATCCGAAATATAATAGTAGTATATAAGTACGAGTACCTCACAAAATGTAAATATTATGATTACAAAAATGTGAATATTGACTGATATAATGGAATAAAAAAAACAGTTTGAGATATGCCTAGTGGCAAGCCGGAAATTTCGTGGAATTATAACAGCAGCAACAGAAAAAGAAAGCATAGTAGAGTGATTCGTGTACATACATTGTGTTTCTTATTTGGTCTCAAAATGAGCAGGAAACTACGTTTTGTCGGAAGTCTATTTCCGTTCTACCATGGTCATTTATTATATTTCACTGAAATTATAGGTGGTGGGTGGAAATTCCAAATTGAAATATGTGATTGAATTTACCGATACTTGATGAAAATTCATAAACTATTCAAATAAGACTTTATTGTGATATTTTCACTAGTCAGCATAACACTTGATTTGCTATACAGTAGTTTTTTCTCATACTGAAAACGATTGAGAAAGCTATTCAATAACAAAACCCGTGTTGCGATTGTTCACGGTTTTGTAAACTGTCAAGTGAAAATCTCACCAATAGAATGTTACTTGAATCTAGAATTGAAGTCCAAAACTGAAAACCAAATCCAGAATCCGAGACAAGAACTCGAAAAATATATACATCTTATTCGAAATGATAAAAAATAATTGAGACACGGATAGTTATTTCGCCGATGTCATATATAATAGAACTTTTCATTTTCCTGAAAAAAAAAATCAAAATGATAGTATTTTTTCCAATTTGCGAAAGTGAATTCTATGAATGATTTACACATTTTTCTCTCTCTCTCTATTTTGGAAGGTCGTTGCTTCCTATTTTCAGGCACATATGACCAATGCTCCTCCTGTTGGTTGACAGGAGCTTCGTCGGGGGGCGTGGCGGTCTTGCACGAAGCAATGCTGCCACCCATTTTTTTCGCCTCCTGCTTGGGACCTTTTGGTTTTTTGTCCATATATTCAGCCCCCTTACGTGGTTGTCCGAATCACCTCGGCCTGAAAACCGACGTGAATAAAGGGGGCTCTTTATTAATCACTTTTTTTAAAGGACACTCACACATTTCAGTAATTAACACAATGGACTAACATAACACAAAAAGGTGCCCCACAATAACACATGGCATCCTCGTACCTTCTTTGTGGGCGGACGTTATCGGTACGTCCGTCCACTACCACTGCCACCACGGAACTGCCCTTTAAACATTTTTCTCCCTTCCTTGGGAAGTTTTCCGCATTTTTTTTGTATGAAAATGAAGAAGTGAAAGCCAAAAAGTATTTCTACTAAAAACGTATATCTCATGAAATCCGATGGCTGGGATTGAATCAAATGAGCATATGAATGTTTTCCTCATCCGTAACATAAAGTAGTAATGTTATTAATCTTGTGATAATATACAGATCTGTGCTGATGAGGTGATAGGTGATAAGACAAGTGTTTTATTACGAAACTTCGAAGTCCGTCATTAAAAATAATAGTGGTCCATTTAACTGAAATTTTGTATCTTATTGTGTTCATTCTTATGAATGATATCTGATTGTATTTAATCTATTTTGGAGAACGAACCGAATAGAAAAAAGTTACTTTCGCATAATTCAATATTATAAGTGTAGTTGTTTCGAAATTATTTTTTCTTTCGTTCAGTTTGTGTCGGATAATCTTTGTAGAAAGTTTATTTCGAACTTAATTTCTTCCTTCCTTAGGAATGAAAATGGAAAAGTGAAAGCTGGTAAAATTCTTCCACAAAAACTCATTTCTACCAAAAACATTCTTTTTTCAATTTAAATAGTAATACCTTAGATTAGACGGTCACCCCAATCAATGGTGGATACTACCTACGGCTACTTCGGTCCCGTGGTCGGTGATTTCATATGAAAATCCCATTTCATTCCGAGAGTCGTAAAGTAAATCCAATTTTATGCTTATTGTTGGGAAAAGGGAACGAATGTCATGATTGACGACGGTTTTTCTTTTCTTTTCGTTCCTTTGTCGACTAACGTAACGAGTCTATTAGGTATGAGAATCACAAGATTCATAAAGAATTTCTTTCCGTTTTATTGTCGGGAACGCATGCAACTAAGTTGAAGGTATTCGATGGAATACGGAAAAGTTCCTGATATTTTGTGATTTATATTGAGGGTGTGACGTTACTGATACGTTAACATGATATTAGAATTTTAGAAATGAAGATTTTATATATTACGCGGGATTTTTACTGAAGAGAGGCTTAGGTCCTGAA